GAGAGAGAGAGAGAGAGAGAGAGAGAGAGAGAGAGAGAGAGAGAGAGAGAGAGAGAGGGCGAGAAGCAGATCCGCTCACAATCAATCTATATGTATATATATATAAGCATCCATGTACGTGAAGGGCACACCATAGAACCCAAAATTATCACAGACGAGATCGAGCACATATCGGGACTCCAGACACAATGAATTCCAAATGATTCCAAAACAATGTTACTGGCGGCTGCTGATTATTCTCAAACATCGTCAACCAGAACAATAGACAAAATCCAGCGTGAATTTGTCGAGCCGCCCATCCACTCGTATGACCACCCCCCAATTCATCCCTACTGTATGAAACCACCCTTGTTCATCATAAAACACACTCACTTGCCATCCCTCAATGTTCTAGCCTAGCCCGCGATGCCCCAAAACCATCCGATGTACTACCGCCGCGTCATTCGACCATTTGGTTAGCCCCTTAGTAATCCTCCGAGGTCGCTGCTAATCATGACGATCCAGACAACAATATTCCCTCGGCATAGTACCATCACCACATTCTGATAAAAGGAAAGAAAAAGAGAGGAAAGAAGAAGAAAAAGGTAGAAGAACAAAGAATGAAAAAGAAGCAAAGAAGAAGAAAAAAAGAAAACAGATAAGAAAAAAGGAAACAAGAAAAAAGAAAAAGGACCACGGAAAAAAGGAAAAAAAGGGGGGAGAAGGAGGAAAAAGGACAAAGAAAGAGAAAGAGAAAAGAAAAGGGAAAACGAATATAAACCTTCACTAATCCTCAATCATCCCGTGCGAACCCAACCACCTTCCAATCTCCTCAACCTTTTCTCCCCTACAGCATAAAGACCACCCATATACCCATATAACTAACCCATCAACCCTTTAACCCATCGTAGCCTCCTTATTATCTCTCAGAGAATACTCCGTCCTCCCGAAGTTGCCGATCGTCCTGCCAAAGCTTGCTTCAAGGTATGAACCATTCACGATTCTCCCGACAGCATTTCCTATCCCAAGACAATCCCCATAAAAAAACAGAAAAAATAAAAAAAATAGAAAAAATAGAAAAAATAGAAAAAATAAAAAAAATAGAAAAAATAGAAAGATCAAAAAGCTCAAAAAGGACAACAGACCCATAGGCAAAGATTCTCAGTCATGCATATCTCAAGGATCCAACAAGCCAGTCCGAAAATCCACAGATCACAAATCCCAGATAAAAACAAGAGGTGAATACATGATTGTCAATCAGCATGCATTTCAGACAATAGCGATAAAGAATTTTAAAATATGTCCCATAGCTTTTTGCTCATGACTACATTATTACCACATTCAGGGTAAGTAGTCACTAGTCTCCGTACACCAACAGATAGACTGGAGGAACGTGGCATTTCCCTTTAACGTTTTTCGCCAATTTGCCACATAATTAGCTCATCAGAGGGTGATATATCAGTACTATCCTTTACATCTGATGTTAGAGATGAGCTTATACTATGGGAAGAATATATATCCTTATTGCGGGAATGAGGAGGGATAGGAGAGAAGAGAGACAAAGGGTACAGTAAAAAGGGGTGAAGGGAGGGGGGGGTGGGGTGGGAGAAGGGACTATGCCATCACCTCAGGGTTTGGTTCAGCTCCATTCTCCTCAGCGAAATGCGCTTCGAGCATCTCCTCGAAGGAAAGGGGGTTTTCCATCATGCCACACAGGTGTTGCACGAGATAACGATCCTCGGAGGGATGGTGCTAATGGCGACGGATAGGTCCACTGCTACTTCCCCTTTGAGATCAGGGAGAAATCTGCATGGGCTGATGACGACAGCTATGGACAACTTGGTAGTGACAGAGAAAACTGCCGAAGGTAGCTTACTCATCAGAGTCATCACTACGCGGCAGCAGGCGGTTTCTCGATAGAGAGCGCACGGATGAAGATCAAGGAGTGCTGGCGTGAACGCACGGCACAACTGGATCTCACCACGCGGCTCGAACGAGTGGAAATCGAGGATGAAGGTAGGTAGTATTCGCAGTTATATATTTCGCTATGTAGCCAGTCCCTAGGCCGACGGGTACTTACTTGCCTCTGACACTAATTCTCCACGTTTTCACTCATCAAAATTGGCGGCGGGAGATTCCCCGTTTCTCCGAAAATTAAGGATAGCGAGACAAGGTTCGAAAATAAATATATTACCTCAGAATAGGTCATTGGTTCGAGTCCATGCATCGGAGCCGTTTTTGATCCCTTAGTCGTTCCCATTCATAGGGGGATAAATAGCTCCATGCTGTCCGCTTATGAAAACACCGGTTGGGCCCACCCCAGGGCTCTTTCAAAGCATACCAGACCAGTGCTGAATCCATCCATCGGTAGGTCCCCCTCTTTTTTTAGGCCATCAATATATATATATATATATACATATACATATACATATTTATCATCAACCCTGTATGAGGGTGTGTGTGTGTGTGTGTGTGTGTG